ATGCAACCGCCAATTCTATTTTAACATTTTCTTTTCTTGCACATCAAATCTTTGGAATTCCCTTCCAGCTCTTGCATCCTTGCCAACTGCAATATTCAAAGAATTAGATGCATCATCAATCGCCATCTTTTGTCTTCTTGAAACCTTTTCTTTTATTGTCCTTTTTCCTCGATTCTCTTCACTGAAGTCTTCTCATTCTTTTCTACTCCCTGCAACCACCTGCATCCTAGTGGCATTAACACCTTGCTTGGGGGGAAATTATTAAAATATATATATTATATGGGTTGGAGAGGCTCGATCGTTAATTTCCCGTCTATATTTAATTCTAAATTCTTTGCTCGGTCTAATATAGGGATGTCTCATTCTTATCTTTGATTCCTATTTTCCTACAGATACAACGTGACAAGCATTCCACCCCTTTATTTGCTATTTCCATGACAAATGTTTAGAGGCGGTCCATTTCTAGCTCACTAGTTCAGACAGTTTCAGATAAGATGTGCCATGCTTTTTTCAGGGAGTATAATTATCTTTATTTCCGCAAAATTCCAGATTTTAAGAGGAAAATTTAATTTTAAGAAGAAATCTTTTCACAAGAACTGCAATAATGTAGAACAGTCAACCATTTGGGGGATTACTTGAAAGCTACAACCTCAAGATACCCGGAATTACCACCAATCAAAATGAACGGAGTTCCTCTCGGGGAAGCACCGTGTCTTGGAATACTTTTGGGCCCCAGACTCATACTCGACCTCAAGTGGAACTCGTACATACGATCCGATGCTAAGGATGCAGGTAAAATGGTCGGCTCCCTGTCACCTCTTGCTAGCCTCTAGCTTTTATAAGAGCTAGATCAGACCAAAAATGGAGTACTGTTATCATATTTGAGCAAAAGCTGTCAAGACCACATTCTCCAGCCTTGATAGAGCCCAAACGCGTCTTGGAACCATTGTAGGTGACGAATTATTTTCCACTCTTCAACCCCTCTCCTACAGGCAGGATGTGGCAAGTCGCTCGCTGCTCTATCGTTACTTCCATGGAAAGAGTTGGGATGGAACATTCTCTAGTCGCGCCGAGGCAAATCTTCTCAGCAAGAACAGTCCATGCCAATTCCATAGTAACAAACCACCCACATTCCCTCCGTATTCCCTCTGCGAGAATGACTTCCACTCGAACAGCTTCTTCCCGCCAGCCACTGTCCTGTGGAATTGACTCCCAACAGGATGTTTAGCCGATCACTACAATCTTAACCTATTCAAGACTAGAGTTAATCGATATCCCCCTAACCTATACACACAAATGGCCTCCTAACGTAACCCTCTACCTCGAGTGACTCTCACTATAAAAAAATATTCAAATAATGAGTCAATCGCTGTCTACACTCCGTGTCCTCATAAACATCACTTAATACCACCGCCTCTTTTATTCATATCAAAGTCCTCATTCATCATAACGATTTTAACAGTAACCCTCTACATTGAGTGGCTCTCGAAACTTATGTGAATATTAATATAAAAATAAAAAATAGATTTGAGTGAGTTAGTATCCGTATCTTTTTATTTGCGTTTTGTAAGTCAAGGCGGCCCTTTTACTGTTTACATAGTTTTCATGAAGATTATTGTCCCTATCTTTGTTGCTATTATCACAAGATTTCGTCAGCTACTTGTCAATCTTAGTAACATTCTTTAATATTGAACACTACCCTTTGTTCTTACGCACAAATACCCTTCGGAAAGGTAAGAATCCATCTCTTCTTCCCCCAGCTATGGGTTGAATAGCAGGACAGACTGGCTTCTTTAGCCTTGGTTGGCAAACAGACTACGGCAGAAAGAAATGGCAGCCTACAGCGGGAAAAATCTGCCTCGTCAGTCAAGTATCGAAAGATACATGATTGCCCAACCGTGTATCACGTATGGCACTGACCCTTTCTTTAATTTAACAGGGTGAATTGTTTTTGTTCCGATGCCATTATATAGGGGTATCTCGACTCATTCGTCTCATTCTTAGTATTGTTTGCTTATTGCTTACCCCGTTCTGTTTAAATAGAGGGTTCAGATAAACATTCCCTGTTTGGTAATCGCAGTATTAGTCGTTTTCATATCGGGAAATATTCGGCATTCGTTGACCGAGCAGTAAGTACTACAGTTAGTGGAAATCTTTCATTAAAAAGGTATTTTTTTCAGAAACAATAGGTTTCCTTCCTAGACTATTGCCGCCCTAGGTAAGACGATAAACTACATCCGCGTCCTGGGTAAGACGATAAACTACATCCGCGTCCTGGGTAAGACGATAAACTACATCCATATCCTGGGTATGACGATAAACTACATCCATGTCCTGGGTAAGACGATAAACTACATCCATGTCCTGGGTAAGACGATAAACTACATCCATGTCCTGGGTAAGACGATAAACTACGTCCAACAGCAAGACCTCTGATCAGGAGGTTTGGAAGAGCGTGGAACCACCTATTAATTGCTGATGTTCACCCTGACTCAGGGTGGTTCCAGCTTTTAGGGGGTCCCAATTATGGGCAAATAGTTAACCCCTAAACTGGGGTCAAGACACTAGGAAAGTGTAAAAACAGGTTTTAATAACAGCAATACATATTTTGAAGGAAATAATTTTTTACCAGCTATAAAAATGTCAGTATTGTAAGCGATTTACGGCTTGGAATGAGAAATGGATGAAGTGTTTTCTAATTCCATTTGGGCTTGTTATATTCTCTTACATGCAAATAGCCTTTAAAAAGGTTTGAATCTACCTCTTCTCACCCCATCTATGTGTTAAATGATAGAACTTGTATTAAAAAAAATCCCTATCTCCCTCCAAAGTTTTTACCACCCCAACGTATTTTCTGGCTTTAAATAATCTATCAAAGTTTGGTAAGCCATAAAAAACAAATCAATCAATAACTAATCTGCTTGTATTTTTTTAAATTAAAAAATAAATTTTAACAACATTTCCAGTAGTTCAATCAATTGCAAATACAGCAGACATATAAAGAAAACTTCAAAATAGAGTGGCTGAAATGTGATAAAACAAAAATCTACTGTTTTAAAATACCCTTAACTTGGTGACTTCATAGTATTTCACATGAAACCTTATTCCCTGCCTCACCCACAAAAGAAGCAACAAGACTGATCTAAGCCATTAAGTGCCGAAAATGAAAAATTATTTGCTTTCCTTTTAGGATAATCTCCATCCATTTTGTATCTTGTCTTGCCCCAAGGATCAGAGATGAAGCAGATAATACACACTGATCCCTGCACCCCCAAAAAAGTAAACCTTTGACAGCCAGTGATAATTTTGGTTGAAATTTATAAAATCTTTCTCTTAAAACAATTTTTTAAGAGAATAGGTTTCTCAAGTCCAGTAGATGTTATTGCTCTTTCCAATAATGATGGCGGCTTTCTTCCGATCATTTTGTTCATTGTAGTCTGGGACAACAGCTTCATTATGTCATTATTTCCTCTTCAAGTTACATGTGCTATTCATTTTAGCTGTTACTTCTGTTGAAAGTCCCCAAGTGATGTGGTTTCTGTTATTTGATACAGTTCTTTGTGATAGATTTGTACCAGTCCACGAGGAACAAAGTGACTGTTCGGTTCAACTCTGTCTACAGACGGAGAGGAACCCGAAGGAGGCTACGCCGAAAGGGCGGAGTCTCTTTCGGGGAGGTAAAACCGGCCCTGAACCCGTTTATACGGGTTCAAATTGGGCTATTTTTGGCCGAGCCTAATGGCTCGGAAATGCCCACGTTAAAAAGGCCTTGTGCCACATGACACCCTCGTGGGGGGACGACTAAATATAGTCCACGAGGAACAAAGAAGGGTGGTCCTGGTTGAGGCCTACAGCGTTCATTTACTCGAAGCCATTTTCAATCATTGGTCTGAAAAAGGTGACATTTTAGATATTTCTAGACGGATTCGGCGCAAAATTTAACAGCCGTATGAACGTTTCGATCTGACTAGTCTATTGAAGAACTCTCTTTTAATCATTTCGCCCCAAGGAAGGCAATGATGCCACTAAGACGCAGGAGGTTACTGGGAGTGAAAGAGAATAAGAAAACTTTAGTGGCGAGTAGGAGCAATAAAGGAACTTGATTCAGGAAGTCAGAAGATGGCAAATGATGCTGGATTTATGAAGATTGTAGGTGTCAGGTAAGCAAGAAACCGGAAAAGAATTTTATAGGCAAGAAAAGATACCGGTGTTCTTAGGTTAATGATTTGGTTTGAAACTTACTGATTATGAGAAGAACTCGATGAAAGCCCGAGTTTACAACTGCTGAAACGTTGTGATAATAACAACGAAGATGGTGACGAAAAAAACAAAAAGAAAAACGTATGTAAGTAATGTAAGTAATGAAAACTCCTCATTCTAGAAATTCAGACAGATGAAAACTAATTGAATTGTTTTAAATCCACTTTTTTTTTTCTTTTCCTTTGTGTGGATTTAATCGCAGTGTTCTAGCGGTGGCAGTAGTCGAATCAAGTATCAAGCTGACTCTCAGAATAAACAAACAAAATAATAATGAATGTGTCTCTTGAGACTCCACCAACGAATCAATTAGTGTGTGTTTCAACCGTCATTAGGTAATGACCGATCGAATTCGGCAGAATTGGCATCGCTGTCGGCGGGCAACAAATAATGGTTTCCTCTATCATACAGGTCACAAAATTATTCTTTAAACACCGAATAAAAATAAATGACTATTCGAAATTCATCTATATAGACTATTTGTCCCGGTTCCAAACAGTTGCAGACAAGTTCATCTAACTTGGTAGCACTCTGTCACGCTACGTCAACATCGATGAGGAAGTGGCCAACAGAATCGCCAAAACCAGCGCGGTCTTCGGCAGACTGAAGGATTAAGTCTAGGAACGACTTTGAGCTCAGCGTTAAGAGCTGAACCCTTAACGCTAAGCTCAAAGTGTACAGAGCAGTAGTTCTACCATGTCTGCTCTATGCTAAACAGATTGGTGCTTTTCATATTAAATGCCTCAGGACCCTGCTCCGTGTAAAGTGACAGGACTGAGTCCCAGACACTGAAGTGCTTTAGCGTGCTGGGATGGAGACCATCCGTGACATCCTACTGCGTTATCAGCTCCACGTTCGCCGCATGGCTGATTGTCGACTTCCAAAGAGACTGCTCTATGGTGATCTATGCACAGGCAAGCGCTCACTCGCCAGACGAAAGAAACGTTATAAAGACACGCGAAAGGAATCTTTCGAGGATTGTGGCATTCCCCATTTCGCCTGCTGAGGACCGTGCCATCCGGTGATCTCTTGTAAGGTTCGGAGTGTCTGATTTTGAAGAGAAAAGCGTAGAAACACCAGAAAAGGAAAGATCGAGAGGGCTCCGCCAACCAAACCCTAGCCCCCAACCCCGGTTCAACACCCAGCATCTCATGACCCAACAGCAAAAGTTATCTCTGCCCCGACTCCCAGTGATTCAAACATAAACCAGCGGCCCGAGTGAAAACACTCCGGTCCCCACGTTAAAAAATGACCTTGTGTCACAACCTGATTCAGTTGGGGGGGGGGTCAAGTAAATAAACCTGCCCCAGGGCTCCGGCCCTGTGCTGGTGGTATCACGGCTACCACTAGCTTGGACCGGCTCTGACCAACCTGGACCAGCTATGACAAGCCAAGACCAGCTATGACTAGCTTAGACCAGCTCAGACAAGTTATGATCAGCTAAGACCAGCGGCCCGAGTGAAAACACTCGGATTCCCACGTTAAAAACTGACCTTGTGTCACAACCTGACTCAGTGGGGGGGGTCAAGTAAATCTCTACTCTAAATTAGAGCGGAGGTATTTTAATTTCAAGAATTCTCATGTGATAATTGAGCTCCAATTTTGTATTTATTCATATAGATTCCATAATATACGTTTTACTTAATGTGTCTCTAATTCTTCAAATGTTGAATGTATAACTAATTCTAATTTCTTTTTTTTTTGCCATCTTTACACTATATTAATTTTATCATATAAATTGTCCCCTGTTCTGTCACCCATGAAATAAAAATAATTGTTTATACGGAAAATAAGGATCTACGTACCTCAAATCGTCCTTAAATTAAGTGGCAGCAGAAGAATTATCGTTCGATTTTTAAAACGTTATCACAAACATTAATTCAATACTTAAATGCAGCAATCAATTTTGAGATCTTTTGTAGTTTATTGATGCCTATCGCATTTACTCCTCCCTAGCTATTGTGATGATGGCCAAACCTAGAGTCCTCGACAGGAGCTAACTTAAATGTCCGCCGATAGGTCGGCTTTTCAGCTACTTTATAATAAAACATGCAATGAAACTTTGGATACAAAAGGAAAATAAGAGTTACTCCCCTTAAATCATGAAAGTAACGATAAAATCTATTATAGTGTATTAATATATATATGTTTTAACCTCACATAATCTGGCAACGCTGAAGCTGATCTCATTGAAAATCGTTCCCTGTGCATAACTTTTCTAGGTCTTTTGAATGAGCTATGAATCCATTGAAATCGGACCAGTGGAAACGCAAGAGTTGCTTGGACAAACACAGGCATGAACGCACACGCATACACTGTACTTTATAGATAATATTTGTCCGGTTCTAAACAAGTTTTACTTGCATTCATTAGAGATTTCTTTTTGTACCTTTACTACACTCTTGTCTATCAGTCCCTGCAATCATTTGTAAGATGACAGTATGGACGGTTGTCAGCAAAAGGGAATGAATTGAAGATATCAAAATTAAGGAAATACAGAATTTTAAATAATGAGAAGCGTTGAAATAGTTGACGCAAAATGTGACACCAGAATCCGAAAGCGCAACATTTCTAAGACTGGCAATGAGGAAAGAAGGCCTAGAAAATTTGACACTCACTTGGCATTGAAATGGAATAGCAAAAAAGTGCCTCCCAAAAGCTAGACAGAGTATTAGAAACGGGAAAGATTCGTTAAAAACAAAGAAAAATTTTCTATCTGCAATGTTATATCAGTCCAAGACAATGAATAAGGCAACGTTGAAGAAAAGAAGACTTGAGGCGATAGAGATGTGTTTCGGTTTAAATGACAGTTTGGCAGGTTTATTTTCAGGGGTGGTGATTGTCTCTCAGCTGCAACTTCCGGAGGCTGATCTTTGGGTTCAGATGAAAGCCATAATATGGGAAGTCGATTTTGATTGGTTGAGCCAGCGGGTGAAAGGAGATAGGAGAATGGATTCGGGGAGTCGAGTCATGACTGTCAGACAATGTAGATGTGTTTTCTTTTGTGCCTGAAACTACTCCCTAGTAAGCGGGAACGCCCCCCCTACTTGATTGATAGAACATGTCGAAATGAATGTTAATAAAGTAGTTAAGTTAAAATTCCTTGTACTGAAGTTCTTTTATCAGGTATGTAGAAAATAGAAAAGAACACGTTGTGTCCATAAACCGGAGTTCCTTAGTATTTTTGTTTCCTAAAATTTTGCTTGAAGATGAAACGAGACTAAACACCTCAATTCAACTTAATTTTAATAATTATTTGGATGATTTTGGCTCTCATTTTTGAAACATGAGAACTCTTATGTAGCGAAGGAATCATATTTTTTATACAATATATATATATATATATATATATATATATATATATATATAAGGATATCATAGACGGAGCAATAATGAAGTTTTAAGGAAAATGGAAACAAAAATGACACCTTTACTTAGAATAATAAAGAACAGATAATGAGGAAAGAAGACCTGAAAAATATGACACTCACTTGGCATTTAATGGATGGCAGAACAGCGAGCGGGAGGGATTGTAAAAGATAAACATTGATAAGAGCTACAAAAGGATAGGAAGCTGTGGGAAGCTTTGATCGCCGAAGTCCTAAAGGTACGCGGCACAAAGATGATTAAAAATTTATGAATATTCTGTTAGCTAAACTGCAAGTCACATCATGAAATCCAATGAGACATGTATTTTTTTTAAACAGACTTTCAAAGATATCAGTAGAATACGACAGATAGATAGATAGATAGATAGATAGATAGATAGATAGATAGATAGATAGATACCAAGGTACTGTCATAGATAGATAGATAGATAGATAGACAGATACCAAGGTACTGTCATAGATAGATAGATAGATAGATAGATAGATACCAAGGTACTGTCATAGATATATAGATATCTAGCTAGCTAGAGAGATAGATCAAGGTACTGTGATAGATAGATAGATAGATAGATAGATAGATAGATAGATAGATAGATAGATAGATAGATCAAGGTACTGTGATAGATAGATAGATACCAAGGTACTGTCATAGATAGATAGATAGATAGCTAGAGAGATAGCTCAACGTACTGTGATAGATAGATAGATAGATAGATAGATAGATAGATAGATAGATAGATAGATACCAAGTGACTGGGATAGATAGAGAGATACCAAATGACTGTGATAGATAGATAGATAGATAGATAGATAGATAGATAGATATGAACAGACAAAGAAAGCTACTTGAGTCATTTCTGCTGTGTTCGGAGATGAAATGCTTCAAACCAAATAGTCAATATTAAGCTGTAGGTTAAACAAATAAACAGGCTCAAAGCTACAATTCAGCTGAAACGACCTGATCAGCGATGCATTATGACTAGTCCACATGACAATGCTCGCCCCATATTCTCTAGATTTAACCCCTTCACACTACCACCTTTTCGGCCCCTTTCTAACAATTTGAAGGGTTTTTTGTTCAATGACGATCTGGAGTTTAAAACGTGGCTTGATGAATTTTTCGAGTCAAAACTTAGTGATTTCTGTTGTCGAGGCTTTGAACAATTAGTCGATCGATGTCAGGAGCTTAAAAACAATGCAGGGAACTAAACTGTCGAATGATTCATCAGAAATATTAATAAATAATAAGTATTAAAATAAATGATAAAAAAGGACGGATTTATATAACACCCTAATATATATCTTTTGCAGTGTTTCTTGTAACTAGAAAAACATGCAAGCGTTTCTATAAAGATTAGAATACATAGTACATTGTAAGTGTAATAACTGGTAAATTGGGCCAGTGTGTACCGTCTACCAAGCAGGATGTTTGCAAAATCCCCAATCAAAGGAATGTTATACCCTTTCTTTGAAGTAATTCTGAGTGCATTTCACTGCTTGCTGTCTTCATATCAATGCAAAGCACCCCTTCATCAATCATACTACTTTGGCCGGTTCGTATAATGGGCATTTTTTACTGTTTCCTTGTAAGTGTTATTATTGTCCTTCCTTTGTGTGCCGTGTCCCTTCTGGACGTGGGCGAGCATGGCTATCTACTTCACCCTATCTCTTGTGTGATCGTACAAGACCCTCCCCGTTTATCCAAGACTTCTAACACCGCGGCTGATCGATGAAGATCGCTCCGATCTCAGACCTGCCTTATCCCACGTTGTGACTTAAGTTTGATCATAAGGAGGCCCATATCGAATCTCAGGTATGAAGACGCACAAGAATAAAATAACACTCGAATAAATTGAACAAAAAGTTCATACTGTTTTTATATCAATCCTTTGTACAATAATTGGTTATATCAGAGTTCGCATGCAATTACTTATCAGCCCAACTTCCGTCTAAATGATATTATTGTTGACTTGGTTAAATTTGGGTTGTTGTTCTGGTAAAGTTCGGCACAAGGATGAAGTCGGGGGTTCTCTTCGACAGGAAATCACGTGGGGTGTATCACGACCAGTGGCTAGGATGAACTCTCTGTCGTTTCTATCTGATGAATTCCCTTCGTGCATTTGTATTTATTGACATTCGCTCAAACTGGCGGAGGTACCGCGCATCGGGGGATTTCGGTAAATTCCCTTTGTTGTCAGCTTACTTCATAATTTCGATGAATTCCCTTCTCTCACTCCTCATATTTCAACTCAAATTTCGACAAAGAGAAATCAACTCCAAATTCTTTGTTTACGACAATGAAATTTCCGCTTTACAGTTTGCATTTTCAGCTGCGTAGATTACATGTCAATCATCATTGCCATCTAAGTCTGGGTCATTTTCCATTGTTCAAACCCTCGACACACCAATTCCAGTTGTCGTCTATATGTGAATTAAATCGCCAATCTTTTCCCCCTTTTGTTCCAAAGTCTTTCAGTGTATCGTTTCCACTATTCATATGGGAACTTATTGTTTTACCAAATATGACTTCCGTTTTATCACGACAACGACAAATAGTATCACAGTTGTAGTTCTCAATATGTTTTGTCCTTTTGCTACTATCCAGAAACCCTGCTCTGTCATCAACTTGCTTAAGCCCGTTAGGTATATCAAGCGTTGTTTTCCTTTGTCCTTCTTTCCCTCTATGCGCCATGTGAGTATCAGATTCTCTAATAACTCCTTTCTCATTATGTGTCCCAGAAATTTTACCTGTCTCATCCTGATGTTAATATATAATCTTCCTCCTTGTTTGCATCCTCTCTAAAAACTCATCGTGGCTCACCACATTCGGTCCATGATATCCTTAGCATCCTTCTGTAGAACCATAGCCCCGTTGTCTCGAGTCTCTTCTTCATCTTTGAGGAAACCGTCCAACATTCGCTGCCATAAAAGAGGATAGATATAACGTAGCATTTCAGTACTCTTTTCTTTGTTACTATTGAAATCCTCCGGTCCCGTAATACTCTGCCTAATTTTTGGAATACGTGCGGTATTTCCTTTCTTCTATAGATTCCAGCTAGTGAATTACCATTGAATGGCAATTTGTTCAGACAAACCTCGAGAGCATTTAGTTACAATAGTTATTTTTAAAGTACCAATAATAATAATAATAATAATAATAAATGTGGCATATGGGAACAAAATCTCAAAAATGTGGCATATGGGAACATCAACAATCCCTGCTGAAGTTGGATCCCTAGGATTGGTTGGAAAAGATTGCAGTAGACTAATTGAAGGGATTCCTGGAAGTCCATGCCTCAAGGAGATACAAAAAATTATTCTCACAAGTACAGCCCACACTTTACGAAAGGCTTTATCTATGTAATTTTTTTTTTTTTTTTTTTTTGTCAGTGGAAAGTGTCATGATGCCATTTTTAACCTTCGGTCTCTGGGCGGGACCCGGAAAGAAATGTGTAAACGCCAGAAATTAAAGAAAATAAATAATAATAATAATAATAATAATAATAATAATAATAATAATGAACACCGAGCAGTCCATATTACGGATATCGGACCCTTTAACAATTTTATGGGAATTCGGAATGCTCACAGTTGTCAGAGCGATTAGCTTTGATTATCCTAATCAAAGATAATCGCCCTGACATCGTGATTAGAGACCGCAAAGACAAAATGTGCCTCCTTATTGATATGACATTCCCTGCAATCGGCAATATGTCTTTGAAGTTCTTCAAAAAGGTATCACAATACAAGGACCTTGAAACGTTATCACAAAAATGTGGCACATGAGATCATTAACTATTTCAGTAGTATTTGGATTTCTCGGATTGATTGTAAATGATTCCAGGAGACTCATTGAAGGAATCCTTGGCAGCCGGTGCCTTAAAGAAATATAGAAAAAAAAATTGTACTCACGATTACAGCCCACACCTTACGAAGGGCTTTATCTATGTAAAATATGTGTGATTTTTTTTTTCAAAACTACTCAGTGGAAAATATCATGATGTTATTTCTGACCTTACGTCTCTGGTCGGGACCCAAAAAGAAATGAGTGTACACCCGAAAACAAAGGAAATAAATCAATAAAAATAATATCTCGGTGACAGACATAGGACCTGTAACAATTTTATGGGACTTGACAATACACACGGACAGAACAATCAAAGTGAATCATTCAGACATCGTGATCAGAGACAGCAAAAACAGAATGTGCTTTCTTATTGATATGGCTGTCCCTGCAGACTGTAATGTATCTTTGAAGATCTTCAAAAGACTATCAACACAAATGGATCTAAAAGTGGAATCTAAAAAAAAAGTGGCGCATGTGGGCATCAATAATTCCAGTTGTAGTCTGATCTCTCAGTATAACTAGAAGAGCTTCCGATAGATTCAATGAAAGGAACCCTAATAGCCCAAGACTTAAAGAAATATATATATATAAAAAAGAAGAAAATGTACTCAGAAGTACAGCTCATACTTTACGAAGGGCTTTATCTATGTAAATGTGTGAGATGTTATTTTTCTTTTTCTTTTCCAAAACTGCGTAGTGGAAAATGTCACTGGTCGGGACCAAGAACGAAATGTGTAGACACCAGATATCAAAGGAATAATAATAATAATAATAATAATATCAAAGCTAATACTCAGACCTCGTGATTAGAGGCAGTAAAGGTAAAATGTGCCTTCTTATTGATATGGCCATCCCTGCAAATTGCAATGTATCATAAAAAATCTATCAAAATACAAGGACCCTGAAATCAAAATAGCAAAAATGTGGCACATGATGGCATCAACAATTGCAGTTGTTGTCGCAGACCCTCGGATTGATTGGAAAAGATTCCAATAAATACATTGAAGTGATCCTGGTAACCTATGCCTTAAAGAAATAAAAAAAAAATGTACAGCCCACACCTCACGTAGGGCTTTATCTATGTTAAATAGGCATATGTTTTATCATACCTGCTCAGTGGAAAATGTCATGAGGCCATTTCTGACCTTAGGATTCTGGTGGGTAAAATAATAATAATAATAATAATAATAATAATAAACCTGTCCAAAATACAAGGACCTTGAAATCGAAATCACAAAAATGTGGCACATGGGAACATCAACAATCCGTGTTGTAGTTGGAGCCCTAGAATTGGTTGGAAAAGATTTCAGTAGACTAATTGAAGAGATTTCTGGAAGCCCATATCTCAAAGAAATACCTGAAATTTTTCTCACAAGTACAGCTCTCACTTTACGAAGGGCTTTATCTATGTTTTATATATATATATATATATATATATATATTGTCAGTCGAAAATGTCATGATGCCATTTCTAACCTTAGGTCTATGGGAGGGACCAGGAAAGAAATGTGTACACACAATAAGTCAAATGAAATAATAATAATAATAATAATAATAATAATAAATTGTTATTAAAGACTGTTGTGGTACGATCCACCTAATTTACATAGTGGAGTACCGACCATATAAATATGGGTTGGTACCGGGAAGACGATGGAGGAAGTAAGAAGAGATCCAATCCAGATACTCTGCCCAACTGCGATTAAGTCAACCCATTCTACAGGAACAGTCTTCCCAAGAATATACCAAAACTAACTGTAAATATTGTGTACCTTTTCCTTGTTTCAATACATTTTGTTTACGTACATTTTGTGTTGTATTATTATTATTCCATGCTTATCCAAGCTTCAACAAAGACCATAAACAAAAACGGTGCCTCCTTGTTGATATGGCAGTCCCTGCTGACTGCAATGTATCTTTGAAGATATACACAAAGCTGTCAAAATACAAGGACCTTGAAACAGAAATCTCGTAAATGTGGCATATGGGAACATAAAAAATCCCTGTTGTAGTTGGAGCCCTAGGACTGGTTGGAAAAGATTGCAGTAGACTAATTGAAGGGATTCCTGGAAGTTCATGCCTCAAGGAGATACAAAAAATTGTTCTGACAAGTACAGCCCACACTGTACGAAGGGCTTTATCTATGTAATTTTTTTTTCTTTTTTTTTTTTTTTTGTCAGTGGAAAGTGTCATGATGCCATTTCTAACCTTAGGTCCCAGGCCGGGACCGGGAAAGAAATGTGTAAACGCCAGAAATCAAAGAAAATAATAATAATAATAATAATAATAATAATAATAATAATAATAATAAAGGAATTTCAAAGATTTTCAAAATGTAAGGATAGTAATAGAAATTGCAAGAATGTGGCATGCATACACAGCATACATTAATTTCACCTCTGTTTATTATTAACTGTATTGTTTCTTTCTAAGTAAACTGGCATCTGACTAAAAGATAGTATTCGTCAAAAAAGACACAGATTTTAGATATGACGCTATTATCACTGCAATGCTAGTTACTAGACAATTGCTTTTTTTCATGTTGGAGATAATAGTCAAATCAGGAGAATAGGGGAGGTTCTCAGCAAGTATAAAGCCACACTCACGCCCAGCAGCCATTGAAACTAAGTACTTATGTGTTGGAGCATTGTTCTGATGGCAAAAGATATCTTTCGTCATGTTTCCTGGGCGTTTGGTATTTGTAGCTTTTCTTAACTGTCTCAACAATTTGGCATAGTAATCTCCATCGATGGCCCTTTTGAAAATATTCAATAATAACAACGCCTTTGGCATCCAAAAAAGACTGAGACCATCACCTCCATGTAGAAGAAACAACTTTCGCATTCTTTGTTAGGCAGGTTAGGAGTGATGTTTTCCATTGTCTTTTTGTTTCTGGTTCAAAGAAAGCATATAAACGCAACACCCATCCTGGGTTAAGAAATGTTCAAGAAAACCGTCTTTATCTGCCTCAAGCAATTTCAGATTTCTCCGGGATGGGATTGTTCTGGTGAGATTTTGATTAGGCATTAGAGGATATGGCACAGACCTTAGTCATGCCAAGTTCATTGTGCAAAATATTTTAAACACTCCCATGCTTATTCATCTATCCTCATTTGATAAACACAATAAATGTTTTCCTCGATGGTGGCAGTAGAATGACGTCCAGACTTTGGGTCATCTTGAAGATTTACCTCCTGAATTCAGTTACCCAGTTTTGCACTGCTAAATCTAGGGCCTCGTCCTTTTACGTAGCATGAATATCATCATTAATTTCCTTCAGGGATTAGGGCTTTATGCAGGTACATAAAACCACGCTGTATCTCGTGTTTTCAAGATAACAGAGGAAAATAAATAAGGAAGACAAACTCGAGGGTAAGTAATGAAATAGAAGGTTTACTACACGAAGGTACACTTAGCCATTGGCCTAATGCTAACTTGGTATATACCCGCGCTCTCCACAGATGCCAGATTAACGTGTTTTTTTCCGAGCCCGTAGGCCCGGGCAAAAAATCTGTTTCGTTTACGTTCCCAGATGAGACTCTGCCCTTCGGCATAGCCTCGTCTCGTCGAAGGTAGAGAGTTCGACAAGCACTACGAGCTATGCGCGCGGCTAAAACCTAATAATCCTCTCATCTCCGCTTATTTACATAAACGGACGGCTCCAATCATTTATGTCTTATATGACACACCACGAGGTTAAATATTGACAATTTTCAGGAGAAATTGCTACTAGTTACTTTGAAAAGACAGTTGAACTTAATGTATGGAAGCTTTCACAGGCCAAGTATCTCTACTTCATATTCCGCCTCTGCACTTTTCAGAGACCACTCGTATTAAAAAGAATTTTGCTAAATAACACGAAGAAGAAAACACAAAATAACAAAACAATGGGAATCATGAGTACCTGAAATAGAAACTTTTTTTACTCACGATTTACTTTATTGAAAAAAAAATCTTCCTTCAATGTATCGTCCTGGGTATAATAAACTACATCCGGCAGCAAGGTTTCCGATCAAGATATTTTGAAGAGCGTGAAATTACCTCTTATTTGTAGTCATTCCCACGTCCACCTCGAACCGAGGTGGTAGCACCTGTTCGGGTCCTAGTTAGAGATAAATCAACAATATTTTTTATAGCAACATGACAATCAATGCAACATAAAAAATATAAAAATACATTTTTATAGTAAAATTACCAACAATAAGTTTTATGATCTTCAAAATATATATTTAAATAACATACCTTTACTCTGAAAGTCTAAAATATCTATAGTTGAAAGCATAAAATTACATGCATATTTAGATTTCGATATTAAATAACCCATAGAGATTTATATGCCACCGAACAAAATCAACCAACAAGAAAGAAATTTCATGACATTATTCCATATAATATTCAACAATTTCTTTTATCAAACTGTATTCTAACATATAACTTCAGCAAAACTGCACCATAAAACACACATATCACCGCCCCTATTAATCCTGTCCACACAAACATGTATATGCATAAAAGCTGAGTATCATCTACCATGTATTCAACTGTGAAAGCAGAATAACATATATTATTATTACTTCGAAGCCCCAAGAAAATTAAATTTCGGGATTAAGGATATATATGCCGTTAAACTAACAGACAAACTAATCCTTCAATGTTTCATACTCAATAACTTTCTTGGAAAAGCTACATTTACCTCAGGTTTTGAGTAAAAACAGAAAAGAAAAATAATAATGAATTTCATCAAAACGCTACATCGAGAAAACTGAAAATACAAATATCAACGTCCGTAGAATTAATCTAACTATTGAGTTGGACTAAGTAGAAATCATCGTCCTCAAGGACACATGCTACAGTGGTTACAGGCGTTGGTTAGATCCAGTGACAGGACCCAAAGAGTGTGAGTTCAATACCCGGTTAAGGCAGTGGAGAACTTGGAGAGGGGAATTAACAGGAGATAACTGATAACTGACATCTATTAAACATGGCACGTGAAACTAGAACAGTCTACCCCAGTGAGCGAAATAAAGGATTCTGTTCGACATTACATCCACCTTTAGCAGATTATTTGAATCCTGCAAATATTTTTCGATTGGAAGAATTCTGTTTTAGATAATAATGGTTTAGTGATACAAGTCTTAGTAATTAACCCATAGCTGGAGGGAGAAGACGTGGATTCAAACCTCTCCTTAGGGTATTTGCGCGTAAGTAAATACAATGTTCCCAACAGGGAAGTTGGCTCTTCAATTAAAAATTCTGAGCCATTATTCATTACACCACCCACACATCCAAGCTTACAGCACCTGGTATTCTCAAACGGTCACCCATCTAGGTACTGGCGGATCTCAACGTTGCTTAACTTCAGTAATCGTACGGGAACCGGTGTTTCAACGTGATCTCGCCGCAATCTTTTGCTTGTATGAGCGCAATTTGTTGGTAAAAAGAATTAAAGCACGGGTGACCCCCAGGTTCGAAGTGTTATTTATTTAGTTGTTTTTTCTTCTTCAATGCGACGGTTATATGCCATCACACAAGGTAGTTAATACAAGATATCGCTTTGAATGGATAGTCGAACTTGTTTCGTTTATCCGATTGATTGAATAAAGGCCCTAGCTAGAATTCCCGAGAACGTTATCGATTATGACAGGCGCCTGAAGAAAGACAGGACGTAGAAGAGCCGAAACGTTTTTATGATCACAAGAGGATCCAGGATAGCCTTTCGAATAAGTCAGCGTTCAACGACGACAGCTTAACATCTTTATTTCGTCTCAAAAAAATATTGAAACAGTGGAACCATCCTAGAACGCCCGTTTTCTGACCTGGCATTTTGCTCCGGGTTCGTCGTCTTGCGCAAGAATTTTGCCAAAGAATATCAAACCAATTCTTATCTATTTCTTTCACATGACAGCGTCATCTTTAAAACATTAAACCCTGCTTAAGTTACGCTGTCAGCAGCAGGCTTTCGCATATCCGAATTTTGACAGCACCTGTAATGAGTGCTTGCTTGCTATCAGTGATCGTCTCAAAGATTGTCAAATATCGTTTCTGATATCGCTTCTTCCAAAAATAAGAAAAAAAAAATATTGCTGAACATGACGTTATCTAAATATTTTCCTTTCTTATACTTGGGAGAAGCGTAGACATTCATTATATGTGTCGTATATTGATTGCTATAAACAAGAATATTTATTTCTTGTTATTTTTACTCCTTTCTTCCCAGAATTATTTGGACTAATATACTTTCATCCTTGCTGACTATTACGTTTCAGTTGACCATTTTTCTGACCTCCCGAGTTCAGAAATTAAAAAGAAAAAAAAAACTCTTATTTTACCTAAATGTTTTTTTCAATAAATAAGCACCTCAGTTTTAAACATAATTTTAAAATAAGGAAATAGATTCATACAGTACTCACATTTGCTTACCATTACCCCATTTGTCTGTCGAAGAACTTCTGCTAATGACCACTAGATGGCCATTTTATGAAGTAGTATATATACAATATATTGTACTCTATTCTTTTTTACAAAATTATCATCCTCTCTCTTCTTTTCTTTATCTATTCCCAGAAGTGTATTAAGAGATAATACACGTCTTTCTCTTCGAGCGACGAGGAGGGCCTCTTTGTCTCCAGCGAACCTCATGTCGCGTTCAAACAATACAAAATATTCCACAGCATACGTCGTCTGAAGTTTGCTTGACTACTCACAGGCAGTGGTTGGATTTAAATTTTAAGATCGGGTTCTCTCAACAAGTTTCAATATCAATGCGTTCCCTCATTTTATTTACAGTCTATTCTTTACTGTATAGGAATTAGGAATAAAGCAAATTTTTCTTACACTAATAATAATCTACGTTATCATTTTGAAAGGAAAATAATTAAAAGAAACACTTTAAAATCTTTTATTGATGAGCTTTCATTTTAAAAATAGCCACAAAGCCAATTGATTGTCATCATAGTCTATTGTCACCAGCACCGTGGTTTTTCTAAGCCATGTTTTAAGAAAAAGAGTGGCATCCCATTAATCTAAAGCGACACCAATAAGATTGATTGTCATCAAGTTTGCTGCACTTTACAGTGTAAGGCGTCTTCTTTTATCTGAGTATACAATATTTATTCTTGAAAAAAAAAAACCTCTTTCTCCCCCCCCCGAAGAACTGATAGTAATCGTATTGATAATGGTTTTCACTTTTTGTACACTTTGAAGAATTAAAGGATTATGAAAGATTTTCAGGATATTTTCCACACACCCACGAAAATCGTTAATAAGAATGGTGTGATGAAAAAATTTTACTGAAGTCATTCAGCTTTTCTTCGGCAGCTTTACAGGGAATAAATATTTCTTGAATATTCCAAGTATCTGGCAAGTTCCGCAAGTCATGTAATTTGTATTAACCTTTATTCGATCACTGGAATTTACATCTCCAACTGATTATGTGACTACAGTTTGTAGACAATCTAAAATTAGCAGTTTGTTCGCATTGCCGCTAGCAACGGGTTTGCTGAGCTCATAAAATTCCAAAAACAGGTTCCCGCGAACCCGCAGAATCCCACCACTCTGTTCACAGGCATGTCTAATAATTGTACCAAACCAGCAGACAGACAACGCGTCTCAAGTGTAAATTTCACAAAATCTCTCATAGAATCTATTGCGCATGTGTAGAAACGACATATTTTGACATGCGCCTTCATTCACTTCGTTTGTATTTTTCCTTTATATTACTGTTTATTATATGTAACTATTTTTTTTATTCATTCTTACTTTCTTGTTTGAGGAATCTCTTACGTAGCCATTTTTATATTAATAATACACCTCATGGGACTCCAGGTCACTATATTGACAGTCTGTTCGTAGCAGTTGTATGAGATTATATTTTCTGAGTATCTAAGATGCAGGCTTACCATTATTCGAAGAATACCTTCATTTCCTTGCTTTTTATTACAAGGGTGTGACAAAAATTGTTTGGAGGCACACACATGAAAATAAAGGGGAAAGGTAGTGCGTGTCCAATTGGTTCACTGGGCAAAACAAATCCCCGTGTCTTCAATATGCCACTCCCCGTCAGAAGCGAAAAGCGAACTACCATTGAATGAGCACCTGACCCAGCCCGCGCTCAGCCAATGAGTGCCCAGAACCAGCCAATAAAAATGGCTACAAGCAACACTCCAACTTCCATCAGTAGGAAGAGCTGCCAGATTCACCGTCGGTCCGAAGCTCGCGGATTCATCGTCTCCACACTGCCTTGCAAAACATTGACGTTACTCTGGCTTTTTTGAACCATCGAGGTAAGTCATCGTTACAAAGGATTTAAATTATATACTTTAAAATCAGACGAACCGAGATTCACTAGGCAAAACAAATCCCCGTGTTTCCAATACGCCACTCCCCGTCAGCAGCGAAAAGCGAACTACCATTTAATAAGCACCTGACACAGCCAGCGCTCAGCCAATGAGTGCCCAGAACCAGCCAATAAAAATGGCTATAAGCAACACTACAACTTCCATCAGTACGAAGAACTGCTAGATTCAGCGTCAGTCCGAAGCTCGCTGATTCGCCGTCTCCACACTCCCTTGCAAAACATTGACGCGACTCTGGCTCTTTTATACCACCGAGGTAAGTCATTGTTATAAAAGGGTTTAAATTATATCATTTAAAATCAGACGAACCGAGACATCGTTTAACATCGTGGTTAACTACTACGATCGTTCTTCCGTAATGGGTCATAACACTCAAGCCAGTAATTCAAATATGATCTGTCTCTGTTTCTTATTGAAAGTCAAATCAGCCGTCTTTTTGCAAGGAGAATTTTTTTTCTTTTCTAGTATTAAATAGCACAACGCATATGATTTGTATTGGCTACATTTTTGGTCCCCAGTAGGGAAATTCTTGTTGTCCGTGATGGAGCGGCTATAACGAGTGTGATATACTCATAATCTTAGCATTAAAAATCCATAAACTACGAGGTGAAGATGTTTATTTAAGTGTTTCGGGGAGAGAAACCATTTGTTTGGAAGGAAATTTCGTCTTCTCGCTCATTGCTGATTCGTCAATTCACGGACCAGTGAAAAGAAACCGCCATATTTTGCTTCTTTCTACTTTTGTCGAAATTAGCCACGGTCACCTGTCACAAAACTGAAGCCTTTCCTGCAGATGAAACGACCTTGGCCATGTTTGGGGGCAGGTGAAGAATGGTGTTTCCGCTGCAGGTATTGTCCCTTTATCTCTGACTGAAAGGGATTAGGAAATATTCAATAAAACCAGCATTATCTGCCTCAAACCATGTCAGATTTTTCCGAAATTGGATCGACCTGGTGCGTTTTTTTAATCAGGTATCAGGAGACATGGCAGGAATGAGCACACGCCTTCGTCATAACAATTCCCAGCGCTCACACGGGATATTCTAATAGCATTGGCTGTTTGATTTATAGTCGATCGCCTGTCATCCATCACCATGTGGTGAACGCAATCAATGTTTGCCTCGCTGGTGGCAGTTGCAGGAAGTTCGGACCTTGAGTCATCTTCAATATTTATCGAATATATCGTATTTCATAAATATTACATCGTTGTCCAACAACCTGTGATCATTTCTCTCTCAAATCTTTAACCTACTTTTTTTCTATTTTACACAGGAAATATTACACGAGCGTTTTCAAATTAGTTGTTATTATTACAACGTTTCAACCGTCGTGCTCTCTTGCCTTCTTCAGGTTTGCTAATCCACGTAAATTTTAAGAAATTTCGAACTGAAACCCTTCATTTAATATATGGGGTAGTAGATTGTTCTCGCTCCGCCATCTAGGGATATTTTATGATGTCCTTATTTAGTCATTACTAGCATCATGGCCCGACATTGCCCGTGCTTGATTCAAAAATCGTACGACTCATACAGCAATCGCTATCACTTGACTTAAAATATTTTTGCCCTTCCTTGCCTTTAAAGGAGTGCTCTTTGCCGTGCTGATGTTGCTGCATGCCTTACTTCTTGCCTATCTCACACTGCGAATTTTTTCTAAGCTCTATACTAAACATTAAATCTGTTACGAAAAAAGAACTAAACAAAATGAACACAAAACGTTCAGGACTCGTAACTGGAAAAACCAAATGAAAAAAGAATGTTAACAACAAATACTTTTTCACACCCAACCCAGTTCTGCGGAATCAGAATCAACGTTGATTTTAAGCAAGTGAATGAGCCAATTGGAGTAAAGTGCCATGCAGATTTAAATTTTTCCCACTTGTGACGAATGCAGCTATCGATTTTTTTGGCATGCTAGCATGTTAGTTAACATTCGTGTCAGTCAGCTGTTGGCTCTCACGCTGGCCAATAGAATATTCCTGCCTATTCGTGGCAGCCAGCTATAGGCTCTCAGTCTGACCAGTAGAAAATGGCCGCAAACTACATGAAAA